CAGTCTTTGGGCTACAATACACTAGGGCACTCACCGGTTTTATTCTTTCTGGCTTTAATTCAGTGAGACGCTGTAAAAACCCTTCAGTTACGGTGACAGAAATACTGTTGTCTGATCAACAACATCGTGGTGTTGATAAAGATAAAGATCACGGGCCACGAATGTTAACGTTGAAACTCCATGAATGTATAATAAACTCATAAGAAACCACGTCATTGAAAACATTATCAAACAAACAACCCGGGCTAAGAAAACAGGGCGTTGTGGAGGTTGGAAACGGGATCCATTTTTCATTAAAATTCCTGCGCCTCAGAGCCTACAGGACCAGGCCAGACTAATAACCTATGGTCCAGACCAGAGCAGAGCAGACTGTGTGAGGCAGGGGATTGTTAATACAGTTCCTTCTGTCAGTGTTCCTATATTTCACCATTGTACTGTGAAATCCATCGTGACTTGTGAGGCTATTTCTGTCTGGGTTGGGAAAGTTCCTGAGACAATTTGTGCTGCAGTGGAACGATAATGCCGTCTCTTTTGAATGCAAACACAGCCTGGCTGAAACACAGGCGGGCGGGTGGGCGAGCGGGCGAGTGAGTGAGCGAGTGAGCTGCTGGCTGCGTCCACCACGACACTCGTGGGACGTGTTGTTTATTCTGCACAGGGAGTGTTTTTTTTATTTCCTGCTGTTTTTCTAACAGCACAGTCACTTGGTTCATTTTACATCTTTCTACATCAAAGACGGCCTTCATCATCATCATCATCATCATCATCATCACCACCGGCCTGTGACTACAGCTCCACACTGACTGTAACAAACTACAGACCCACCACTACGACACGGGGGAATTGAAAACAAACATGATCGGATTTCCATTCCTGCGACAGCTCAATAACTCCAGGTCTGTCATGAAAAACACAACAACAACAACAACAACAACAACAACACCCACGGCTGATTGTGACGCTCGTTATCGCCTGTGATTTATAACTCAATGACTCAGCGAACGCTCTATTAGAGACCAGCAGCTTGTCACATGTCAAAATCACAGTCGACCAGTTGTGACGACGGCGATGACTCAGTCAGAGCTCGTCGTAGATCACTGATGGAAAAGCTGAATGAACGCTCTCTCTCTCTCTCTCTCTCTCTCTCTCTCTCTCTCTCTCTGCTGGACGACATCATGTTGCATTAGTAAAGAAACCTTAAAAGCCGCTGTAAATCCAATTAAGCAAAGCTCCAAAACCACCAGGCAGATTTTCCACAGTGTTTCTCCTGGTTCCTCTCCCGCCCAATCCCGGGCTCAGCCTTAACTCGCACAGAACCGTCACCATCTCAATCTCCTTCACCTCCAGCATCTCATGACGCCCCTGACGTCACCGTCCGTAGGGGACAAAATTGCTCTTCTGCAATTATCAATTTATTTGGTCTGGCCTGGGATCCAAATGGGTGGGTGGGTGGAGGGGGGGGGCACAGGCTCCTAAACGCCCCCTGAGACACAGCGGACTGGGAATTATCCCTGCAGAGCTGAAGTCCTAACTCAGCCAAAGCCGATGCCATTAGTTTTCCAACTTTGTTGTTTTAAACCGTAGCGTAGGACACGTTTAATGATGCTGCAAGATGGAGAAGGGCTTCAGACGTTTCCCATAAAATCAACCTAATGGTAACTCTAGAGGAAAAGGCTCCAGATCACCAGTGAATCAGTAATAACACTGTGACAATTAAAACGGTTAAATGTTTCGTCTAAAACTGAACTCAAACTCACTCACAAATGACACAAACACTGGAAAACTTTTCTCTCCAGCTCTTTAACAAGACTGGAAATCCCAGGGTAATTTGGAGGTGAGGTGTTTTATAGTTACAGAAAAGTTGAATCAGACTGATTTTCACTGTATAAGAAGTTATTTAATCACGTTTTTGTGCGTGAAATAATAAAATGCCGTCAACACATTCCCAGCTCAGATGACTCACACCTGCACAGAAGTTCTTCTCAGCTACGTCTCTGGGAAAATCCATGTATTTCTTTTTTTTTTAATAGTAAAACCAGGTGATAAATATGTAAATAATCACAACTGGTTTTTATCAGAGCTCATGTTTTACAACTGGAGACAGTGGTCAAGATAAGAAAGAGGAGGAGGGGGGGGACCGTGGGGGGGTGAACACAGAGGAAACCCAGCTCTCTGTTCTGTTAAGATAAAAGGGGACACGATAGGTCAGGTCAGGTCAGGTGACCAAGAGTGTGGGTTTGACCTCTGATCCGTAGATCTGTCTGATTAGGTTTTGTCTGTCAGATGTGATGACTGACAGATCGACAGACATTACATTCACACTGATGGTCAGTGTTGAAGCTCTGAATCATTGTTTCCCAAACATTTCTTTCTGGGGACCCGCATTTAAAAAAAAAAAAAAACTCTTGCGACCCACCTGAGGGTCTCGACCCAGTCTTTGGGAAACAATGCTTTAAAAAGATCTCCCAGACTTTGGGAAACAATGCTCTAAAAGATCGATTCAACCATCGGCACGTTCTTTGGACTCTCCCTGTCTGGGAAAACTCCACCATGATGTGGAAAGACAACGTTCCACACGTGATGCCAGGACTCAAACCTGTCATGTTCTTCTCTGATGTTCCTGCCACGGCAACAGAACAATCCACTGCATCTGGGAGCCACCCTGATGTAGCAGATTAACAACCCTAATTTAATCACACACACACACACACACACACGCTGACTCCTTTCACACACACCCATTCCTCGATGTGGTGGACGACTTCCACCGACCTCCGTCCACTCACTGACTCAGTTCATCTACTGACTCACAGCCTCAGTTTCACTGACTAAACAGAGAGAGAAAAACCCACAGAACTTATGGAGTGTCTGAACTGAAGCGTTTCCCCTCGGTGACCTGTTGACTCCAGACCTGCTGCTGCTGATCTCCCTGATTGGAAACACATCCAACAGATCGTTTTCTCACAGTGATGAATGAAGTCGTTAGTTGTTGTGAAACTCCGTCCCTTCTACTCTGGAACATACAAATACTACTAAGTACTACAGTTTTTTTGGTGTATTACTATCTGCAGGTCCTGTATTCTACACACACTTCCAACATGGAGAGCAGTTCAACCCCCCCCCCCAAAAAAAAACTTTGTGTACACAGCTGGGGAGTCCATTTTCACTTTTACCCTTCTCTCCCTCAT